AGATCACCGGACAGCCTCCCTGCATGGGGCTTTCCAATCTGCGAGCCTGATTTATTTTTTTCAATAAGAGAAAAGATGTAAGTCCCTTTGAGCAAAGTATGCCTGATAGATATCACAATATTTATTTTTGGTGGAGTAATGGATCAGTCTTCCGGGAAAGCTAGAGAAAAGGCATTTTTTGAGCTCGGATGTAAATCAGTCACTCTGAACACCGCAGGGGAATCTCTATTCTTACCCCCCTGCTAAATGCTGTGTGAAACAAGCAGCTGACTTCTAAAAGTCATTGTACTATTTGTTTCCAGACCTAACACTCAAGGCAGAGCTAAGGATGTGAGGCCTGAGAAGCAACTGCTCCTGGAATGCCTGCACCTAGCTCCCCAAAATGATGGTGCAACTCACAATGCAAGTAGAGACCCACCTCACCTGCGGGTGGTGAGCTGTACAACTGGAGAGACAAATTCTAAGCTTTATTCTACTTGCAGTACTCAGTTCTAAGGAAGAAGGATGAGGTGTGTGGCTGGGCTTAGGATGTAAGGGTCTCCCAAAGGACCTGTCCAGTTATTACAGGCCAGTCTTCCTATCTATCTTAAATGTATCCTACAGCAGGACAGAGTGAAACTGGAGGACGGGGGAAAAAAAGATCTTCAATAGATTTGCAACTTAAACAGAGCTCTTCAAAGGACAGCTATTTAAATCTGAGTTGTTCCTAATATTAATTATCTTGAACATCTCATAGGCTCAGATTTACACGCTACAAAGAACACAGAGCCTTTTAATTTTCCTACCTGTCCCCGGCACTGGTGGCGATAAATCAGATACACAGAGAAACCACACATGACTAACGAACCAGCCCATTAATGGGGAGCAAAGATCATTTGCCAAGATGACTTATTCAGACACGGTCACATATCATAAGCGGCAATATCCTGGAGGCTTAATGCAGCAGGCATGGAGAGCAAGAGCGGGGACACTCCCTGCCAAGTTGTAGGCACTCCAGGGCGACTTGGGCATCCCAGATGCCTGCCATCCAAGCAGGAAAGATGTTACTCATGGCTGCCACCTCCCCACTCCCCTCAAGTTGGACTTGCACTTGGAAAATCACTGCAACTTCTAAAAGACCTCTTGGGTCTTAGAGCTGCTGAGCCCCCAAACCTTGCTGTGGCCCCGACTCTGAGACTCTTAGAATTCCAGTACCCTCAGGGAAGAAGACCCTGCCTCTGCCATCAGGAACTTAACTGTTAGTTTATAGATCTTTACTGTAGCCACCCATTCAAGTATCTGAGCTCCAACTGGGTGTCAGACCCTATTCTAGGTGTTTGGGCAGATCCATAAACAAAACAGTAAACAGGTGGGAGTGAGAGAGAGCGAAGAGTCCCCTAAACGCCAGTCTCTTTGTTTTACCATGAAAACTGAGGCCCGGCGATAAACAGGAATTTTTCCCTGACATCAGAATTGATGGTGTGGCTAGGATTTGAACCCAGGTTGGATTCTTAGTGGGACTGCCACATACAGTGGTGCATAAGGGCACTGGGCAGAGGGGATGCGGATGGAGATGGGGGTGAAATTCAACCCAGATTCTTCATATGGACCAGGGGCAGCCCCACTCTAGTACTATGTTCTCACTGCCCTAGAATGCCTAACTCTCTTTAACAAAAGCCCTCTTCACTGGAAGGGACACGTGAGGTTCCGCAGATCAGCAACCAACCTTCATTAGTGGGACCCAGGAGAGTTTGAATCCTTTCATTGGGATGTAACCCTGACAAGCTATACATTTCCAACTCTTGTCATGAGTGAGAAAAGTCTGCTGAATTTGAATCCATAATAAGCCCACCTATGGCCGAGGTCCCCTATAATAATTATAACAATCAGTTCCTATATTAGGGTCAGATCTGAAAGAGAAGGCTGCTAGCAAGCCGTTCACATTCTCACCAACCCCTTCACTCTTCCTGGTCCCAAGCTGAGGATCCATCACTGTCCAGTCTCATCTCTAAAGTTCAATTTGGGTGACAGGAATGATTAACTTGATCGACTGTATGAATATCTACTCTTGACTAGGTGCTAGGGATGCAGGAGTGAACACACCACCATCATCAACAACAACACACATCACCCCTGACTTCACAGAACTGAGACATGTCGAAAACAGAGCTGGGAGGAGCCCAACTACTAAGGAGTCCCTGGTCAGACTGGCAGTCTACTTAGGGGCCAGGTCTGGAAGCAAGAGTGTATGTGAACAGCCAATTATCCCCTCCCTCAGCCGATTTTACAGAAGGAAAAATCAGGTCCAGGAAGGAGAGGAGGTGGTTTGTGCAAAGTCAGACAGTTGACGGTTGAGTGAGACTCGAACCCATGTTCTCTGGGTCTCCCCTTTCTACCACACTGCCTCCTCCAAGGTTCCAAAAACTGCAAAGTAAGGAGAAATAGTTGGTTCTAGTGACAGAGCATTTCCTGATGTGTGTACATCAGGAACATGCAGTTTCAACCATCTTATCAGCACAGACCCCATGCCCATGTCCATCTCTCAAACTGGAATGTTCATAAATAGACTTTGTTGATCTATAGCCGGGGTGTCCAGTCTTCATTCACTCTCATTTATCACCCTCTCTGAGTCTCTCTTGATGTTTACTTTCACTTTAAAAACCTCATCTTATAAGAACAGAGCCCTTTTTATCTGATGTTAGTTCCCCCTCTGCTCCTGGGGTCTAATCGATCCATGTCTGGAAATAAACAAGCCAGAGAGGAAAGCAACAGTCCCTTTCATGAAAACAGGCACCTTTCTAAAATGATCTACCCCTGGGCACGGCACAGATAGAAATTTAAATGAGAAGGAAATAAAGACATCCTCCAGCAATGGGCATATGCATTCCTCATCAGGCAGGACACCATGAAGGTAGCTCTGTGTTAAGAGCTAAATCAAAAACTCTGCCCCACATTTTTCAGGTTGTTTGGTGGTGGTGGTGGTGGAGGGTCCAAACTCAAGAAGCCTGAGGAGACAATACGCTTCAAAAATATAATAGTGTACATAGTCCAGTCCCCTCTGTTCTGAGGAGCTTAAGGTCCTCAAGATCGTAAGAGAGGGCTTGTTGAAGACCAACTGCAGGTATATGCAAGCAGGGGTGCAGGGAGATGCCAGATAGAAAGATCCAGACATCTGGCAACCAACATGGACCTCCGCTCATCACGTTATTTTACACCCACCTGCAAAGCAGAGTCTCCACACCTCCCACCACCCTCCAGCCGCTGCAGCAAGTTACCTCCCGCAGCTCCTGCCGGCAACGGAGGTTGTCTTTGTATAGAAGGGCAGAACCATGTTCCCACTAGCCAGCCCACCCTTCCTATGGCTCCTAACCCCAGGCTTTCGGAAATGGGTCACGTATGTAGATGCAAATGCAGAAAGCACCTCTTCTGAAAAGGACAGTAGTTAATCTGTTGAGAGGTCTTTTTGAAAATCGGATGGCAGCCCTGGACACCCCATGAGAAACTGCACGCATGTAGTTTATGTGTAATTTCACTGGGGGTGACTGCCCTCTGAGGAGGTCTGAAAAGGCCGAGAGGGTTAATGAGCTCAGAGGCAGCTTTGAGAAAGGGAGCTGCAGGTGGTCCAGGTGCGTATTCAACAATACAGTTCCTTAACCAAAAGAGGAGAAATGATGACCCTTCCCTAGCCACTGCAAGTTCCAGCCTTCAATCAACCTTTGAGATTTCAACAAGAATTTGGAAACTGAGAGCAGGTGCACACACACAAAACAAGGACTCATCTTCGTGGCTTCCTATCTTGACATCACAAAATGTCCTGTGATTGCTAGTTAAGACAGACTCCAAATAGGGCTTAGAGCAGAAGGGCTGAGTAACAGCAGAGATAAGTGGGGAAGAGGTGGGCATTGGGAGGGAGGATAGTCTGGACAAGGAGGAGGGCCAGCCAAGCTCTCCACTGGCTCTGAGTAGGTCTTGACAGGGCAGGTCCTGACCCTCGCTGCCTGCTCCCCCTGGAAATAAGGGCAGACCTGCTGACTCCTTTGCAGCAAACCGAGAAGTCCAGACAGAAGCAGCCCTTTCCTTCTGGGTCCACAGGAGGGGGGAGCATCTTCTTTCTAGGGAGGAGACCCTGGCCCACTGCTTGCCCACAGCCCCCTTGTGGCCCGGCGGTGTCACTGCAGTCCCCTCTGCATTGCTGGGCACAAACCTCACACAGGCAGCTCTAACAGTGGTAGAGCAGAATATTTAGTTACCGGTGGCGGCTTGGCAACAGTCTTCAAGCCATGGTGAGGCTGGGTTTGCTTTTGGCTTCTTAAACTAAGACTAAGATTCAGACTCAACGTGATCCTTCTAAACCCCTCCTTGATACAATCCCTACAAGGAACAAGTCCAAGACCTGCTTCATTAAGCCAATAACCCCGGAGCTTCTGTACCATTACCACCGCCTGATCGATCATTCCTTCCTGCATCATGCAATTATGTACAATTACTCCAAAAGCTCAAACAGAAGCAGTTAGCAAGAACACACAACATCCTCTGGTTTGTAGGTTACTGGCCAGGTTACAAAATACTCACAGGACACCAAATACCCCCCAAATCCTGGATTTCCAAGTAGCAGATTGTACAGGGGTTTGGGGGAAGTCTGGACTGAAGGACCCACAGTGAGAAAGAGTGGCCCTTGGCTCCATGAGAGCAGAGAGGTGTCCATCAATGAAGCTGAACAGCACTCTTGCCAGCAACTCTACAAAGAAAGGAAGTGGAGCCCACCCGGGCTGGGGGCTGGACTGGCAAGACCAGAATCTGGGGATGGGGAAAAGTTGGTCCAGTGGTTCACTTCCGTCACGGTGGGGATGATTAACTGAACCCAGCGGTGGAAAAGTGCGCAGGCAAAAGTGAAGGTGGGAAGTTTGGGGGGCGAGGGGAGGGTGCAGTGTGCCTGGAGGGCCTAGAGTAGACCAGGGGCCAGGAGAACTGGATGGAAGCACAAGGGGGTCTTTTCTTTTGGGGGGGAGGAGAGTCCTTACCTCCTTGATTTTCTCCCGCTGGGTTCGAACACGGCTCTGTGGCTCCTTACTCTCGTCGGCCCTAGTCCCCAGGACCGGGTGGCGGAGGCGGCTCCGGAACGCACTGAAGTCGAAGCTGAATGGGATGCTCTCCTCCTGGGGTCTGAGGGCCGCGACGCCGCTGCTCCGGGCCGCCGTGGCCTCCTCCCGGAGCCCGGTGGGATGCGTGCGCCTCAGCCACCCTTTCCTGCGGCGGGTATTGGCTTGGCTGCTGGGGTCGTCCTCGCCGGGGGCTGGCGCCGCGGGGGCCGGGTTGGGAGGCGACTCCTGCTCGTGGGCCAGGGGGTGGCCGGCGGCATCGGCCATTACCTCCAGGCCGGGCTGCTGGGTCCGGGGGGCCAAGAAGAGGCGCTTGAGGCGAGAGGAGTTGGGCAGCAGGAAGAGGGCCCCGAAGCACAGGGTGACGAGGCCCGAGAGGAAGAGAAGGAAGAGGAACTTCTGCGGCAGCCGCAGCCCCCACGGGGAGGCCGGGATGAAGCCGGGCACCTTCCTCACGAGCATCGTGGCCTGGCGTGGGGCTGGGGACAGTCAGCTCCGGCCGGGCCCCGGGGCCCTCGGAGTCCAGGCACTTGTCAGCAGGGGGCCCGGTGAGCGCAGGTCGTCGAGGGGCGTCGCCCGGGGCGGGGGTCCCTGAGAGTTCCGCCGCTCCGGGGACCGTCCCCGAAGTTCAGGAGTTTGGAGCGGGTCCC